CATTTATGTTTTTGTGCTATAATTTGTTGTCATTCTCGAATGAAAAAGGCATAATTTATATTTATTTCCTAATTTTTTATGGTGGTTATGAGATCGGTCAAATCTAGCAAACCCGTATAGATTCTTAACTGAAAATAATAGATAAAATATTTTTTATTAAGAAATGCTTGATAACTATCTGGAAATTATAAAGATTTGTATATAAAATATGAAAATTTACTGATGCATAAAAGTATTTTTAATCTTAAAATGAAAATTACTTTGCATGTTGGATAGGCAACATGCGAAAAGAAAAAAAGGAAGGAAAAACATTGCTTTACAAACCTTAAGACTTAAAAAAATTGATATTTTGTGTATGAAAGCATTGTAATGTTTACTGATAATCTGCCAAATTTCCTTAACATATGCTTACTAATTGAAAAGTTACAGCATGAAAACTATAACAAGCACGAAATGGTTATGAGGTTGGTCCTAGGGACCAAGCCCATGTTGAAAGAGTTAACTCTATCATCAAACTTTATTGGACTGACAACAACTGTGGGAAAAGAGCACAGTAGTCATGTCATGGAGGACATGGTTTGTTAACATGTGCCTGCCTCAAGTGAACAGGTGATGTCCACAGGAGGAGTACACATGTATAGAGTGTGCTGACGGAGGGCATAGCATAGTAGTGCATGCTTGCTTCAACTCTATCGAACAAACTCTGGCTGCAAGAGGAGGGTACAAGTGGCATGTGGTATAGCTATATGAGAGGTACTACACTGACAGTGTCACCACTGTCCCACTTCCCACTGTATTGGTACCCCTTGTTCTAACTCCAGTGATTTGATCCCAATTGGTAAATATTATCCATGGTTCACCACTACAGTGGCTAGGAAATTGTAAATGGCAAGGGTCACATATTCTCCACTCAGTGAGAAAATGAGGGGGGATTTGCAAAAAATGCCAGGATCCCCATCAGTCCTTCAATCTGGAAAGGGTTTTACTGGAGACAGTGCAAAGTGTGATGACCACGTAAACCTATTTTGAATAGCCACCAAGCAAGAGCCAGGGAAGCAAGTAGAATACTCCCTGGTGCTGAATGTTTCCACGATAGTCCATGGAATAGGCAGTCTAGATTGGACAAGAGTCAAATATATAGATATACCACAAGGATATCTCAAGTAGTATTGTGGAACACCCCATTTGACAGTGGGCATATATGGAGCCAGAACAGATGGTATGAGTGTTTTCTGTTATCCTGGCTTGATGTGAACACACTACTTATGCTGGTAGATGAAAAAGTCAAAGGACAACAGGAATGAGAAGAGAAAAAGCCTTACATGATTTGAGAGTCCAGTTCTACAGGCAAGGAACAAAACAACAAAAGAGTGGGTATAGTGGTAGGGGAAGAGGGGGTCAGACTGTTAGGCAGCATAAATGAGGGAATCAATGTTGAGCAAGGGTACTACCAATAGTACACAAGGGAAACAAGGCCAGGACCCAATGTGAAAGATAGAGAGGTGGGTATGCATAAATGTGAGACCAGACCTGGTTGAAAGCATCAACAACCAGGGCTGAGAGATGGGAAACAGGATATTAGAAGAGAGGAAGTTTGGAATTGAGAGAGTAGCGAGGCACTGATGAGTGAAATCCCCAAGAGAGATCCCACTCAATTGAAAACCTGGATGTAATGAGACCATTCCATGATCAGAATACAGTCTGGCTGAGAAAGGTGGTCCACAACCAGGTTCATAGTGTCTAGTACAGGGCAGGCAATGAGATGAACCCATTTAGAATTGGCCCAATAAAGAAGGTCTAGGGTTTGAAAGCAAACGGTCCTGGATCAAAAACCACTTGACAATTGTTTAAGAAACAACTGTTGAGTTGTCAAAATGGATAATAACTAAATGATCAACAAGGAAAAGTAAGAAATGGGAGCATGTCCAACAAATTGCCAGAAGATGGAGCATGTTGTATGGTGTGAGAACTCGTCCTGGGTCCATGTGCCTGATGTGAAACTGTCGTTCAGAGATGCTCCCCAACCAAAGAGGGAATCATTGGTAAAGAGGTGCAGGTCCAGTCTGGGTGGAGGTAATGGAATACTAATGGTGGTATGGGATAGGTCCATCCACCAAGCCAGATCCTTGAGTGAAGGAAGGCACTGGTGAACCAATAAAGTCAAAGTTTCACATGAGTCATTCCACTGGCCATGCAAGGACCATTGGAGAAGGTGCATATGTGCACAACACAAATGGACAGAAGTAGTTCCAGTAAAGCCATAGTCCTAAAAAGTGACACAATCTATTGTGCAGTATGAGTAGGATAAGGCATGAATCCTGGTGACTAGTTGTTCCATAGCTTGCAGGTGGATGGGAAAATGTTGAGTATGGCTGAGAAAGGAGTTGAAGAACACTCCAAGTTAAACCAGATAATGTGTGGAAGTGAGGAAAGATTTGGAAGTGTTAATGAACACTGTCTCCTTGAGACATAGATAGATGGAATTGAATAGAGGAGGACGGTATGGGATAAGGGTTGAGAGACGAAAGAGATGAGAACTGGAGTGAAAGTCCATGGGTAACAAGTAGAATAATGCACCTGCCTATGGAAAAGTGTGACCACAGGTTCACAAACCACAACAGATAGGCCCCAACAGGGCCTGACTCAACATGGTAATCACAGACAAGATGAAAGTGAGAACTGATGACAGACAGCCCCTGCCCATGATTCAATAGAATCAGGAATATTTCCAAAACTTCTAGGAGAAGGTTTTGTGGAAAGAAAGAAGAAAGTCAAACCTGGGAAATGAGAGTTCCCATACCCAAAAATTCTCAGCAACAATAAGCCAAGTGAGCAGGAAAAGGCAGAAGAATGGAAAAGACCATAGTGGAGAAGAATTGCCAGAAATATCCTCTTGGAGATGGTAGAGTGTCTAAGGTGTAAAATAGGGGGTATTGGAGTATGTTAAGAAGGATTAGGTGGATATGGGAGTGTTGGGCATTGGAGGTTAGAGCCAACCGCAAAGAGGCCGCCCCCAAATAGACAAGAGTGATTTCAAATTTTGGGAATTGAGAAAGAAGAATTCAGAATGACTTTAAGCCATGATATAAGAATCAGATAGACAAGGAGGGTGATGAATAAGGTTGTGAGAACATAGTTGGCCAGGGAAGTATTTGGCATGAACACAAATGGCAGGAGAAGGAGATAAATTAAACATTGTTAGGGTTAGGAATATGAAAAAAGGAATGAGAAGAGTCATGACATAGGGTAAAGAAAAAGAATGCTATATACCTGTAATATTAAGACCTGATAATGCAAGAAAATTCGAAGGTTCTCTTCAATGGGGAGAGAAGTTTCCAAGCATAACCAGATTGAGGAAATGAGCAAACAAGTTCATTCTCCGAATTCTCCCCTCAAAATGAGAGGAAGGATTGTCTGAAGAAGGGACTGGAGCTGAAGATCCTGGCTGTGTAAGGGAACCCATTACCATAACCACAATGGCCATCACCTCATCCTCAGTCAATGTACCTATAGAAGCCAACGTACATACATAATATGTGTGAAGAAGTTCTTCACTCACACAAGTAGTAGAAGATGTTGCATGAACTTATGAGTTCATAGTTTATAGAGAAAAAGAAGGAACTTAAGTTCTTCAAAGTTGCAAATCTCATTAAACAGAAAAACAAAACACATCTGATGTGTTCAGTGATGAGGAAAAAGTGAAGATTAACTAGAGCAATTACATAGAGTGAGATAATGCACAAGGAAATGTGTCACTTTCTACTGATGGAGGGCTTTTGCTTCATAATAACATTATTATGCAGTATTGCAATTCACAATAAAACTTGTGAGATTATGTGGAAGTTAACTAAAGGCTAGTGACATGCAAATATCTAAAGCAGATGCATGGGGAATATAGTTTAACTGTGTGAAGTGGTGGGGTATCATCTCGAAGTCTCAGATTTAACTTTATGCACAGGTGATGCTGCAGAATATAGCTACAACAGTATCACTAGATTCAGCTTTCTCAAATCAAAGACCAAAATAAACAAGAGAACACGACCTAATTTTACTGGTATAAATTTGTAGGATAAGAAAAATTAATGTAGAAAACAATAATCTGTCAAGCAATGCCGGAAGATTCAGGCACACTACTAAAATAAAACAGGCAAAATTCGAACTATTTTTAGAAAGAAAACACTGCAGGAAAGAATCCAATAATATAAATTCTAAATATATGCACTTACTATTACTTATGGGAAAAGTTTCTTCTTCATTCTTTGCCAATTTGATATCCAACAAAGAATCCTGCTCATCACCAGAAAAAGGTTCTGCCTTCAACTTTAATACTTCCATGGTTCCATCTGAGCTTCATGTTATATATTCTTATCAAAACATGCGGTTAGACTATAGAGAAACAGGGAAATAATTAAAAGTTGCATCATTCTAAAGGTTTCCAATAAATACTAATTTCAAAATACACAGTATTTTGATAACTTTCCACCACTTATTAAGTTTCTTCTTCTTCCTATCTTTAAAATAGTTACAAGTGCTGTTTACCTGACATTAACTGATTTTGAAATAAGATGTGTAACAAGACATTGAAACAATCCTCATCAACATATTTGCAAAGTTTAAATATGTAAGTTATTTTCATAACAGTAGGTTAATCAGTTGTTAGACTAAATGAAAACAATCATAATGAGAATCATCAATCAATGTAATCAATGCTTATATGTAATTGATTATATAGATTGATATATATCAAATATTTCAAAATGGAATAAAAACTACAGAAGAGTTTGTTAATTCCTCAAAATTTCTAAAAATTATTCACAGGTGGCTTTTCTCCCTAGACTCCTTACCAGGGTAACTTCCTGGACCTTTTGAACCTCTTCAACCAACACTTGGGCTTCAAAAGTTAGGGATAACTTACTGTTTTCAATTATTCCAACAATTGATTAATTAAAATTATGACTAGACTGTGACAAAAATAATCAACAAATCAAAAGTTAGTATTTTCCCTACACTGAAAATGTATTTCTGATAGATACTTGCCTTGTTTGCTTGTTTGTAATTAAGCACAAAGCTACACAATAGGCTACCTGTGCTCTCCCCACCACGGGTATCGAAATCCGGTTTCTAGCATTGTAAGTCTGTAGACATACCGCTGTGCCACTGGGGGCAGATTTTTGCCAGCTCTCACATAATAGCTTTTCTTGATAATTACTGCCCTCTATATGTGCAAATTTCCACTTGTCACTAGCCTTGCACTCCCACCTACCTCCACATGACACAGCTGCATTGTAGCATGAAAATTAGCATGTGACAACCCTCCACCAATAGGAGTGCAACCTATCCTACTAGTGCAGCTGACTCTATACTGTAGAACTCAATCGTCACATCTAGATTAGGCAAAAATTAACCATTGGAAATGGGGAGGGTATAAGTATCTGTCAGAAATACGTTTTGGGTGTAGGAAAATATTAATTTCCAATATCTTACCTCATCAAACATAATAGCTAGAATCCCACATTGAAAAGGTGGTGGGACCAGTGCAAAGTTACCTAGATGAGTACCCTCCAGAAAGCATCTGAAGCAAGCCCATGGAGAGTGAAACCTCAATAGATGTCATTACACTTGTGGATGGTTGCAAAACACCTGTACCAAGTATACTCTTTGCCCATGGTGAAGAAAAGTGTTGCAAAAAGGGTGGAAAGAAGCACCTCCAAGGAAGTGGATGAGCAAATGGTGAAGAGTGGCTGGGTCACATCAGAACATAATCACTGGGTTAATTCCAGTCCAAAACCTGCCAGCACCGTGAATGAGGAATCTGGGTCACAGTAAGAGGAGGGTTCCAACCATCTTCACCTTAGGCCCAGGAATCAGAAGGGAAAAATGGCTTCCAGGCTAGCACATCTGTGCAAACCTAGTACACAACCAATGCTGACCAATTAGGGACCCAACATCTTGGCAACAGTAAGAAGGTCAATTCCAATTCAAAACCAGACAGCATTGGGAATATATTGTCCAGACTGTAATGTGAGGGTCCCAGCCCAACCACATGTGTGAGGATTTATATTCGCCAGTCCAGCTCCATCCAACACCAGCACACTCAAGAACTGATATCCAGGTGACAGTAGGAAAGAGGGATCCCAGGCAGAGGGATGAACTGTATATTGTGGATTCAAACAGTGCTAAATCAGATGCTACCTGTAATTGTACATCAGGTCTGTGGTAGGAGGAGAACACACACCAACTACACCAGCAGAACACTGCTGCTCTACTCTCAACTGAGTGGGATTAAGCACACTCAGGCGGAATTCTCCATGGTCCACCATTCCAGAAGCTAGGAGCTAGTAAGTGGTAAGAAACCCCACATTCCACTAGACAAGGGGGAATTATATAGTAGGAGTCTGGAGGAATGCACCACTGGAGAAAGTGCAATGGGTGATTGTGGAACCATATTTTCAAAAGCAGGCTAAAACCTAAAGTATTCAACCAGGAATGGAAGAAAGGCAGCAATCCCCTCCCAGCTTTACTCATGGTAGTCCATGAGTTCATGCAGTCTAGGATGGGCATAATTATGATGCAACATACCATGAGTATGCACCTACTAGCAGTCTTGCAGGACACCCTATCTCAATGGTGGGCATTGTAGACCTTAAAAGTCTGACAGTGCAGATTTGATGGCTGGTTCAGCCCACATCCAGGACCAGACCCATGGAAACCAACATCCAGGAGGAGAAAGGATGGGTGATCACCAACAGACAAGTATACCATGACAGGCACTACATGCCACAAAGCTGGATCTAAACTGAAGCATAGGGTGACTGTAAGTGAAAAAATAGATGAAACAATTACCCACTCAGTTGAGCTGGGAAGTGCAAGACAGCAACAGGATGCAAACAGTATCCAGCTGAGAAGGAGATGGCCAAATGATGTAGATAATGGGTGAAAAAATGTGCAGCATGGTCCACATGACAGCCTGAATGATCTCCTCCAATGGATGACGGAAATGAGCAGCCAGGGATGTCATGAAGTGGCAGATATGATGGGAGGAAACCTGGAAAAGATGATGGAATTGTGAAGAATAAGCCAAACAGATAAGTAAGCAAACCCAACCAGTAAATGTAATTGGGAAAATGTCACGGGAGGAAGAAGGATTGCAGTAGATAAAAAGGGATGCTACATGTAGGAGAATATGGACCACATTGCAAAGAGTCATGTGTCAAGCCTGAGTGTGGGAACAACAGGGTGAAACACAGACATGTGAGGTTGGTGGAAGAGGGTATGGATAGAATAAGATGTAAAGGAGGTGATGCTAGAAGCAGCAGGAATAAGAGGAACCATGGTTAAGCAGGCCAAAATGGGGCAATAAGAAGGACCCAACACAGAATAGTTTGGATAATGAACAAAATCCTGAGAAGGAAGCAGATAGATGGGTAGTCATAAAGGTTGATCCAAAGGTCAAAGCCAAAAGATGTGGAAATGGGGACCAGAACATATGACGTTTGGTATTGAGGTGGGTGGCAAATGTATGCACAGAGAACTTTTTCACTGTGAACACAACCACAGGAAGATCTCAGGATCGAGGGACCACTCCACAGGGAAACTCTTGTCAGGATTAGATAAGATCCACAACAAGAATGAGAACACCAAGGACATGACAAACAAAGAAGCAAACACATTGAGTATGGGTTCAGAAAAAGAGATATAATATTTCACAACAAAGGGAATGTGGATGAGTGCCTCTTGTCTATTGATGTAAGAGACAATGGTCAAATTGTTGGAATGGATCATAACCAACTTGCCCTGCAAAACTGAAAGGAAATAATCCAAAGCCTGATGAACTTTCAGGAGATTGATGTTGGATCCTGAATCGACCAAAACCAATGACTGGAGAACTCTTGAGAGTCCAAATACATCTCACAACCCGTCAAGGAAGCAGTGGTGAAAATATTAGGGAAGCAGAAGAGAAACTTCATCTCAGCCACCAGTCAAAATCGACTTGAAGAGAGGAAGGAAGTAGGATAGAGGAATCTAGGGAATCCCTAGTGAGATTCCATTAAACTTGCAAATTACAATGGAATACGTTTACGTGAACATGACTCAGGAGAATAAGTGCTTCCATGAAAGTCCAAGTCCCCAAAAGAGATAACAACTCGTGAGCAGGTAGTGAAGAAGAGGTCTGCAGCCAAAGGGAACAAGGTTGGGCCCGAATGAAATGAGTTGAAAAATACTCCAAAGTGGACGAAGTATTGGGTGAGGATAAGAACAGACTTCTCCACTTTGATAAACCAACCCAATCAAGTGCCTTCTTCAGGAAGAATCTGTGTTTAGTCAGAAAATGCTGGTAGCAAAGGTGTTAAAAGCAACAATGGAACTGCCGACCATGAGAATGTAATAGATGGCCAAAGGCCTTGATCACCTGAAGGAAAAAAGAGTGAGTCAAGGTCAGACCAAATGGAAAGGCATGCAATTGATAAACCTGGTCCTCATCGACAAACTAAAGGTAAAGATGAGATGCTGAGGAAATGAGGAGGTGAAAGTACACACCTTCGTCATCCAAAGACCTGGAGTAAAAGTTCATTAAAGAGACAGGAAAGACTTTGTGGTGAAATGAGGAAGGTCTATGTACCAGTTCAAACTGGAAAGGTCTATGACCATACACCAGTCTCGGGTCTTCTTGGAGATGATGAACAAGTGGGAATAGAACCCCAAAGTAGAGTGACCAATGGGTTCAAAAGCAGCCTTGAAAAGGAAATCCTAAACTGCCTCAGAAAGATTTTAGATGAAAATGGGATTCCGAGTAGAAGGACAGGGAACAGGAAAGGGGCAAGAAAATGAAGATTTGAAACACCCAAGGATCTGTTGTGAAGGTGTTCCAAAGAAGGGCAACCCTGGACAAAACCTGAACACAATAGGACCCGTACTTCTCAGATAGTGACCAGAATCACTGGTAGCATCAAGGGTGGCAGTGAGCAATGCACTGATTTGTTGCCGAAACCTATGACAAAGACACAGACAAGGGAGAGGAAGGAGAAAGGTGGGAGACAGGGATGGGAGTGGGAGAAGGCTGCAACAGATGAGTGACAATGGAAGAAAGAAACGTGTGCTGTCAAAAATCCTCTACAGTAAATTCCAATGAATATCCCCCAAAACAGACTGATGTAAAAATGGGGCCATACATAAGTCATTTAAATACATGGGGTTAAATGCACATGAGTTAAAAATGCATCTCATCCCAAAAGATCCAAACAACAAAGGAGCTAGGTGTTGAGGAAAAGGGCATAGGAAGACAAGCATGCCAATGTGGAGAAAAGGAGGGAACAAGTTTCTATCGAAAGCCCCCT